TAGGATGCATCAACCCTTCCGGAGGGATCATGCTATGCATATTAGATCACATTGTCATCAGGTGTGTACTACCCAAGAAAACATAATATTCCGACAGTCCTGCAATTTACTGTATCTTTACAAATGGCACTTTAATTTTAATGAGTTCTCCCTCCACAAACAGTAACAAGTGTTAACCTTATTCAAATTTATCTAGAAAATTAATTCATCTGTGGATTTTAGCATAATTTCAGTAAGATATTGCCTATTCTTTGGGAAAAAAAAAAGAAAAAGAAAAATACTTTTTATTAGGCAATAGTTTGTGCTTGCACTGTCAAAATGGTTTTGGAGATAATATTCATGCTTGTACATTAAAGCAGTAACAGGGTAACTCACCAAAGTACTTTAGTATAAATTATGATCAAGATTTCCATTTTTTAATATCTGTGCAAAATGAATCTGTATCTTCACTTCTCATGAATTCCAGACTCATACAGTGGAATTAGAAGTTTAGCAAAGGGTCAGGATTGCTTGAATTTCATCGATGTATACAAAAGTATTGAAAAATAGTACTTTTTTGAGAACTGTGCTTATTTAAAAAAAAATTATAAACAATATGCCTCAAATTTGTACACACATGATTTAAAAGAACTCTGCAATATACTTTGAAAATTGTAAGTTCTTAGCATCAAAACTGTTTCTGAATATGTCTTGTATACACGTCTCTGTATTATGCAGCACAACAGATCCTTGATGCAGCCATTTGAGGCCTCTGGCAGTGTTAGACACATTGTTAAGTACAGATCACTAGAGATAAGATTCCAGATGCAGCCGGATACAATTTGACCACATCTGTCACAGCAGGACATGGAGGACTCATACAACACTAAGATTGCAGTTCAGTGTCTTCTGGTGAAGAATAATTCTTCAGATCAGTTGCCTAAACTCTAGGTTGGCTTTGCTGTAAAAGTAGCAGAGATTTTTTAATCCCTGTTTTCCTCCACATTCTCTAACACATCATTTTCAGAGTAGTTTATGATATTCCTACAGGATTCCAAGTTACCACATAGGACTCAGAATGCATGAGGATGTAATGATTTAATCACAGTAAAACTGCCACCTGACTAAACCCCTTGAGTAGTATTACTAGGCTAACATGCACCAGAACACTACAGGACTTCCATTCTGCTCTCCTATAAATGGAGTCTGAATATGTCTTAGTCAATTGCAAATAATTACAGTAAATTTCAACAGTTTCTGACATTCTGACATCATGCTTTTTAAGTAAGGGAAACATTGAAATACAAGAGCTTTGTAAAGATGAATTTACTAGTTTGCTTGTGATCCATGCAAACTTGGGAAAAGAGAGAAAGGGATAAAACTTTACAAGTGAATTCATAAGGAAGGAAGAAAGTATATTTTCTGTCCCATGCTGAAGTATTTTGATAAAACTAACAACCGAAAGTCTTCCAGCTTTCCATCACTGTTTAGAACTTTGATCAGTGATTTCTGCAATGTAAACCCACCTGTTTCCTATATCCTGGATTCCTTTTCTCAAAGCACAGAAGATGACACATAAGTTCTATCACTGACTTATCCAAGGCAAGTTTAATATATTGAACTTTACTCAAGTGCATGATCCTTGTATTTATGTAACAGGAATAATTGTTTTCATTAAAATTTCCTCATCGATGACTTCTCTTTGTAGTGAAAATAAGACACAAATCATGCTTCAAATGTTAAAAAAAAAAAAGGTGAACAAAACTAGTATCTTCATTTCTTAAAAATAAATAACTCAACCTTCTTTAATCCTAAAAATATACCTATAGAGATATACATCTTTATTAGATCTAGAATTAGTGAGTTATGGTGAGGCAATGTTTGCCTGGCCTAGCACCCCATTAAGGCATTGTTCATGTGGAAGACCCAGATACCCATACATACATTGTTTAACTGAATAAACACATTCATGTTAATTAAATTCCTTTTTCAAATGGCAAAACAAAAACATTCTTTAACAAGTTTAGCAAACACAAAATATTTCCCAAAAAGCCTGAATGAAATGCAATGAACTAGCACCTAACACACATATTTTGATATTAGGTCACTGTTTCAGAACCAGATCACCAAAAGAACTCTTCCAAGTTCAAACTCAAGAATGCTTATGAAGAATAGCAAGTTCTTCAAAGATTTAAGACTAAAGAATAATATGACTGACTGTGACAGAGGCAGCTGAAGTACCAACTACCATAATTAAAAGAATCAGAACCTTTGCATGATAAATACTTCCTTTTTGTATTCATATTACTTGACAAATTGATAAATATATATATATGAACAGAATGTATATACTTCATATATTTATGGGAAGTTTTAAAAAAGAAAGTAAATAATGAAACTGTACTATTAATAGTATTTCACATCCATTTTTCAGAAATATAAATGAGAACACAAAACATGTAATACTCAGTTGCAATATAAATTGCTAAGATTGTTAATCATCTTTAACACTCGAATTCTACATCCTATTAAATGGAAATTTGTTTTGAACTCAATAGAAAAATTCCCATTGACTTGAACAGAGCCAAGATTTTACTCTTGGTCATAGCACAGATTACTTTATGGTTTATATTCAGAACAGTTACTTTCCTTAGAGCACAAATGGGAAAAAACTACCAGTATAATCACAATTCCTGTCAAATAAAAAAAAGTAATTGTATCTCAGCATATTCCTGAATGAGATCAGAATCTGGACTGTATGGCTTGGACAATTTCTTTCTCCAAATCTACACAGGGTCCAGGGTCACAAGGTTGTCCTGGGAAATGTGATATATAATGAAGAAATTCCCACAAGTGTATCTGTTCGAAGAAGCCAAAGCAATAATAAGACGTAAATCTCCTCTCCTACTCATACATCAATAGGAAGACATTTACTTGTCAATAATGTTATCCACTTGCTTTGTTTCATTCTTGTTTAGGTTCTGCACATTTCAGCAACCGAGGTCCACAACTGGAAGTTGTTTCAAACTTCTCACTTCTTCAAACTTTAGTGGAATATTTATTGGAACTTTGGAGAAGTTGTTCATGATCCTGTGCATATTTGGAAGATGACCCATATCTGCATTCACAGCTTTGACATAAGAGCACAGAGCATGGGGATGAGGGTGGAAGGGGGAAGGGAGCATTGCGAGGAATGATAATTCTGAAATATATGGGATGAAATACTGAGTTCTTCTTTGGGCAGCCTTCTTTGAAGCACGGACTCATTATAGTTGCTGGTTATCTGGATGCGGGGGATAAAGTATGCCACTATACACAAAATATATATATATAAAAGCTATGAGCTTTTTGTTTACAGGAAGAAAATTCCCTTATACAATAAAAAGGGATCTCTTCATTCCATAAAGAGAAATCAGTGCCTCAGAGGAGACTAGAATTAAGGCAAAGGCAGGGCTGTGTACATAGAGAGTGGCTACATGTTTCCCCACTGCTAAACAATAATGAATCATTTTAAATAAAGCTCTGCTCCTGGAGTTTCTTATGTGAGTGGGGGCTTCCACTGAAGTTAGCAAGACCCTTTGGTAATGAGATCTGCTTGCTAGGAATAGGGTCCAAGAAATTTTTATATATTCTACACATATGTCTATATGTATTTGCACACACACACACGCACACACATGTACATATACACACACAAACATGCACACACAGAGATTTATAAATATATGTATATATATGTACATATGCAAAGAGACAAGATTGAAAACCATGTCAGACTTGGAATGTTATTCGCTTGTCAGAACCATTTAAACTACTATCTACACAGTACATATTGAAACTCAACTTTAAGATTTTTTATTTTTATGTACAGTTCTTTTTTTTTCTCTGGAAATAAAATATCTAAATACAGACAGACTGTAATGTTGTATATGTATAGCTTCCAACAATACTTTAGCCGAATAAATGCTTTGTACATAGTTCTGTCTTTTAATGGAGTTTACAGCTACATTGATAAAATGGATTCCTCATTTCCTTGATTGTTTTTAACCAATAACAAGCAGAGAGACAATTACAAGTTAATATTAATAAGCAGCTCAAATAACACCGGTTAAATTATGTACAATACAAACCATTCATACAAATGAAGACTAGGATATTGAATTTGTTACAATATTTTGTAATAAAGATAAGACAGCCACTTATAACTTACATGTTCTCTGCCAGGCATTTCCCTTCTTAGAGATCAGTTGGAGAGTTTTTAAGTAGCTTAGCTGGCCTAAACTCAACCAGGTTTAAAGAATAAGAGCTTAAAGAGTCAGAGAAACAAGAAATCAGAATGTCTGCCCACATGTAAATTCCAAATGTTTGCCCATCTTTACTAGTAACAGGCTCGCTCCACAGAAAAAGAGCCACCTAACACCACCTCGAATGTGCCTACTGTATGCTGGAAAAAGTCACGATGCTTTGCTGTGTCCATATAATAAGGAATACTGAACTCTAGACACACATTTTTCCCATTTTAACAAGTATTTACTCCTACAGTATTATTTACCAGTACAGCTACTCCAAGCAGTAGAATGCATGAGAGGGGATTATTGATTGGCGTGTACTCAAAGGACTTTCAAAGAGATTTCCATAACAGTCTGCGTTAGAAACCATTCTCTGTCTAGTTAATCCATTTTGCTTGATGATAGGTTATCCTGAAACCTTAGGTATCAGACAATGAAAGCTCTCTTAACAGGAATCTCAATAGATGTGAGCTGAAAAGAGTGTGTGTCTCTGTGTATGTGTATGGTTTTATTTCAAATCCATAGTGATTTACAACTAGATTGATACATGGAGCTGACTGGGCAAAAATTACATTAGATTGTTTTCCACTAACATATTTGCAGCCATTTGACATCAGCAGCAGCGGGTAGACACATTCCAGGCAATAGATGTGGCCTTCCTCATTGAGGTTACAGCCCTGTCATATGACCTCTTTTATTCCCCAGGCTTCAGTCTCAGACACGTGTTGGTCTTCACCCTGATGGGAAGTAGGGTGTGTCACTGTGGTAGTTGTAATCAGGACACACCTTCTGTACTAGTTTATAATCTGTACTATAAAAGGAAATGTAAATACAGATTACTTTAAAGGGCTTGGAGCAGAGCCATGACACGTGGCTCTGCGTCTGCTCCTGATAACAGGTTTTTGAAGGGTCATAGTTGCAGAGTGTGTTCTTGGTAGCCTTGTCAACTTTTTCATACTCGATTCGACAGTTAAAGGACTTGGAATCTTTGGCATCAATCACCGTCTGTTGTGCCAAGTCAAATTCCACTATTTTTGTAGGGGGCACTAGGCTCACAGATACATTCCCTTGACCAGTGGAGTTATGCCTGAAGTAAACACTAAACGTCCCATTGCCATGGTCAACGATTTTCCCTGTTATTAACAGATTTAGCTTCACAGTCTTGATGTTGGAATGAAAATCACCCCAGCCAAACATTTTCTTAAATTTCCCAGTCTTGACGATGGGCCGTCTCTTTGCTCTGGGCCGAGGCTCTTGCAGGTCTGTGGAGTTCCTCAGCCAGTCCCAGAGATCTTGCTCAGAATAAGTTTCTGGGGCATCGTATCGCAGGTCCAAATCTGTATCATTTTCCTTTCCACGAAAAGTCTGTGACAGCAGTCGGCTGATTGATAAGTCTTTGCTACTTTCTGTCCATATGTGCTTTAGTGTGGATTTGGAGCTTCCTGATTTTAGAAGTTCTGTTTTTCCTCCATTTGTTAAATTTGCACAGGTAACCTGAAAAAAAAAAAAAAAAAAAAAGAAGAAGAGAAGAAGAAAGAAAGGTTATATTGAGACATGCAATACAAAATGCATCATTCCCACCTCAGACAAAAATGGGCAGATTTCAGAATCATAGGGTTTGGGGTTGTTTTTTTTTTTTCTAGAAATTAAATTATATCTCTGTACTCAGTAAAACAAAACAGAAAAGTCTATTTTCCTCTTCTTGCCAAGTAGTTATTACTTAATTGTCCTTTGCCACTCTTATACACTGGCCTCCAGATGTAATCCCAGCCATTCACTTCATTCGTCATCCTGAAAGCTACTTCTGTTATGATGCCTGTAAGTGGTAAGTATGCAATGAAGTTCTGCAAAAACTAAGGTACGCAGCCATGTCATCCTCCAGTGTGCATGTGGCTTTCACTGGCCATTTCTCATCTCAGAGTGAAGTACTCTTGCTTGAATGTTCTCTCTGCAAAGTGACTGTGTTCCACCATCAGTCACGTTCATTTTTTTTTGCTGCCTCTGGAGCCCACTGTCAGGGTGCTATCTTGGTGGTGCCAGCCTGACCATGCTCAGAGTCCATGTCATTATAAATCTAGTAATAGTAATATAATTTCCCTACTCATTTTATGAGTACACATTGGTCTGTGTTCTTGATTGGGACAACTACAATATAAATAATTGCATATTGAAAATTTTAATGAGTTTTGCATTGACAGCTGTACATACTATGTGCTGTATGTCAACCAATGCAAGGGGAGTCACAGTCTTTTCTTGTAGTCCCTTGCAGATTAACTACTGATTTGCTTTGTCTGTATTTAGTATGACATGCAGTTCTCCTTCCTCACTTCAATCCTCTTTTCACACCTTCCTCCCCAAACCAAAAAGTGATCTGTGCAAGACAGAAAGTCAGTCATGTATTTACAAGAAAAACAGGACCAACGATTTAAAACTAGTAATAAAAAACTCCTGAAAAATCACATTTTTAAAAAAGACAAAATCTTGCACCAAGTTCTTACAAAATCTTATAAACTTCGGGCATAGATTTTCACAGAATTTAGTGTCAGAGCAATTTGTCTTATTTATATTTTTTCTCTTTGCCTTAATTGTGTGGAAACAGAGAACAGATGCAGCCTCGCAGCTGTCTAACATGCAGCGCTGGTAGAAAGCTCTGACAGAGCGTAGCAGAGAGAGCTGGAATTGGCAGGGGGCAGTGGGTGGATGGGAAGGGACCAACAGCACCCTTAGTCCCATACCCCCTAAAAATTCACATCAGACACACTTCCACTTTTTGTAACATTTGGACTGCTCTGAAGAGGCCATCAAGCTTCGTATTTCCCCTTTCATGGCTGGATAGGAGATTCTGAATATGCCTGTTTTATTCCTCTGTGTTCTGCCACTGATTTCCTATCATACTTGCAGTTGTATCTTTCTCTTCACTTAAAAATGAATTGAGTATATTTGCAACCCAGAAAACTGATTGGAAACCAGCTAGTATTTAAATCATAGCCCCTCCCTACTGGTACAACTGGAGGTATATGTCACAGAGGATATCTATCACAGCATGGCCTTTTCATTTCCTAACAATCATGGAACTGAAGCGTGCTTTCATTAACTTCAGTACTTTTTCAAGGTCAGTTGAAGGCACATACATAAAATCAGTCTAAATTGTCTTAATATACTGATCACATAGGAGGTATGTCCCCAGCCTTTTACAGTAAATGAATAGGTAAATAAATCTGTCACATCCCACACTGTAGCACCCCAGTGTATTTCAGACTGGTGGGCCAGTAAGGGTAATAGATAAAATATGAGGTTTATTTCAGATTGTGCCAAAGAGATTGCTTCCTCCTCTTTTGAGTGGAAGGAAGGATTACAACACAGACTAACATTTTGATAGCCAGTTTGTAGCTGCATCTAAGCATCAACACAGTGAGCCAGGAGAGAAGCTGTAATGAAATGCACTGATGGTGCAGTGGTTAATGAAGCAGCAATGAAGATGTCACAGGGAGAGAGAAAGAGACTCAGAATATAATTTTGCTGTGGCATATGGGGAAGGAGTGCAAAATAAGAAGAGAAATGTGGTTAAAAGGAAAAATGTGCCTGTCTAGCATGAATCTGTCAACCTGCTATGAATCTAAGCCGTTGGCTAGCAGAGCTAGTATACCTACAATCTGTAGGTAGGATACAGATTCCTTACCACTATATTTTTCTTTGCTCACAGTTTGTTTTCCCTTTATTTTCCCTTCTGCATCCAATGATTTACATTTCATAGGATTACACTACAAGTTCCATGTAACAAGATGTAACAGAATAAAAACCTTTGAAGGGAAGGTCTCTTTTTTTCAGATATATAAAAATGAACACTGAGGAAAGGAAGAAGGTATTTTTCTGAAATAGTTGCTGACTGTTCCAATACATGTGGGTTTTCTGAAAGCCAGTATATTCTATGGAAATTGAAGATTCAGATCCCATGCATGCTATACTACCACATACCTGATCTATCAAATACAATTGATTGTTACTGTCATTGATTTTGTAATACCTGAAAGACTTCTGGTCATGCAGTTAGCCCCGAGACCTCTGTGCTTTTCAGCATGGGTAACTGGCTGCATTCACGATTAAAGGCCTGAACCTGCCCTCCCTAGTCAAGTGTCTGTGTAAGCACTAGCAAAAACAGCCCACAAGGGTTAATAAAAAAGCTCTAGAATTCTTCACTAACATTTTCAAGCCAATGGCTTTTTCATATACTGTTAGTATACTATGCGCTATAGAAAGTAGCTATAGGTATCCTCAGAGACTCGCACACCCCATAATACAATTCTGTGTAATAGAATTTCTGCAAATGCAGCAATTATTTTGACATGAACTAACCCACAATTTTCTTCCATCTCTCTTCTTTCCAACTTCAAGGCTGCAATAACACAGGAAAGATCATGCAAATCCATGAGATTTTGCACTTAGCAGCGTGAAAACTAGCTTACTGAAACAGAGGCCTATTTTAGCAGTGCATGAAGAAAGACCCGATTTAAAATGGCTAATGGAGAGCTAAAACACAGAGCCACCTAAATTCTATGGTGGCTTTTTTTGTCCTCTTCCTTGAATATATTTGCATGTAATTCAGAAACTTGCATACTCTACCTTATCAATTAGTTCACTATAACCAGAGTTGCCTTCTTTTCCACAGCCAAGTGCCACTCCTAGATGAAACATTGAAAAGTTTGGCCCACTTGTACTGGGCCTGGCTGGGACAGAGTTAATTTTCTTCAGAGTAGCTCTTATGGCACTGTGGTTTAAATTTGTGACCCAAACCCTGGTAACACACTAATGTTCTAGCTCTTGCTGAACAGTGGTTGCACAGCATCAAGGTCACCTTTGTTTCTCTCTCGGTCCCTCAAGTGAATAGTTGAGGGGGTGCATAATAGGTTGGGAGACAATTGAGCAGATGACCTGAACTAACCAAAGAGATATTCCATAGCATATAATATCATTCTTAACAATTAAAAGGAAAAGAGGGGGCATTAGGGGGGATTAGCCATATTTTGCTCAGGAACTGGCTGGGCATCGCTCTAAGCATGTGAGGTGGTAAGTGTTGCCTTTGCATCTTTTCTTCTCTCTTCTTCCACTTATCCTCACTTATTAAACTTTCTTTTATTTTGACCCCCGAATTTTCTCGCTTTTATTCTTCTTTTCCTCTTCTCCTGTCCCACTGGGGAAAGGGAGGAAGTGAGCAAGCAGCTGTGTGGTGCTTAGCTGCCAACCAGTGTTAACCCACAGCACCACTACAGTGCAATATATCAATGTTGCAAAAGGGCTGAGGAGGGGGATTTCCTCCATGACTGCATAGCTAGAAGTGGTTTGAATGATTATGATGTCAGTAGTGCCCTTATAGAACAATAGTAAGGAGCAAAAAGATTTAGAAATGTGTATCCAATGCTACAAATGTCAGTGGAAAAGCATTCAGTAAGCACAGCAGACTGACCTTTTTGTTCTGGTCTTGTACTTTTAATGGAAAGTACAAATTTCTGCTACCTACTCAAGTTTACTGATATCAAAAAGGTACAAGGAGCTGACTGCCTGGTAACTCTTCCAATGGATAATGACAAATTGTTATTCCATTTCTTCTTCTGCTTCTAGGAAGGAGCAAGACACTGGTTTCATTGGGCACAACATCCCACAGCATCATTAAAAAAGATACAGAAATTAACCCATAATTCAGTTTTCACTCCATTAAAATAGAATGCACCATTCATTCTGCACCCTATTTTTTGAGGGTGACGAATTTTTTATGACAATGCTTAACATCATTAGATGTATTTTAATGAATATGTACAGTTCATTTTGGACTTCCTAAAGGATAGGCAGTTTATTACTCTCAGAAAATTTTGAGTTCTCTGTCAAGACACTGAGCCCTGAATGTTTTGACAGGTCAAACCTGAACATTTGGAACAGCGAAAACAAAGTTGGAAAGGGATCACAGGGAGCCATGAAGGCCTCAAGTTGTGATTTAGGCCCTCTTCTCAGTGTAAAATCAACCTTAGGTATATTAGCATTAATTTAAGACCGATCAATTTGAGATTTAAAAAAATAGTCATTCAAAGAGGTACAGAATGCCTCTTGATTTCTCACTCTTTTCCTTTTATTCTAGCTCTATTACAGTTCATTACCTATAATTACAGTATTGGTTTAGAAATTATGTATTTATTCTTCTGAATGTATGATTACTTGAGGGCAAATGAAAATGTAAACAAACAATCTAATACTCAAGGTGGAAAATCTCTCTCTTCAGGTAAATAACTAATCAAAACCAAGATTGTTTTTGCTGGCATAGCACTATAAGAATTTGGCAGCACTGTGTTTGCAAATGCTCTGTATACAAGGATTCATAATTCTCTTTCCTCGGTCAGATATCTCAGATATAGCATGGGTAGGAGAGTACTGGTGAACATAACTATAAGCTGGGCTGTTATTAAGGCAGGACAGCACTCAGAAAATTTTAGCTGGATCCATTTTCC